AATGTATTTTACACCTGCTTGCAAATGTATCGAAACACATTATTAAAGAATTGTTTTCCATGATATCCACGACAAAGTTTTCATACTTAAAAATATTGTAACGACCCCAAAAACATTGAAACCCATAATTATAATGTAATAGGTAAATTTTCAATATACCCCAAAAAATATCAGCATAAAGTGTCGATACCTTTTCAAAAAGTGTCGATTGAAAAAACATCGGAACTCATAATTATAATGTAATAGGTAATTTTGTAATATAACCGGTTTAGATATACCGATTTTATGAGAGAATAGGTCTACAACCTATATCGACACTTTTTAATATTGTGTCACTACTTTATGTCCAGAATGGATGAAAAAAGTGTCGATACCTTTTCAAAAAGTGTCAATTGAAAAAACATCGGAACCCATAATTATAATGTAATAGGTAATTTTGTAATATAACCGGTATAGATATACCGGTTTTATGAGAGAATAGGTCTACAACCTATATCGAAACTTTTTAATATTGTGTCGCTACTTTATGTCCAGAATGGATGAAAAAAGTGTCGATACCTTTTCAAAAAGTGTCGATTGAAAAAATATCGGAACCCATAATTATAATGTAATAGGTAATTTTGTAATAAAACCGGTATAAATATACCGGTTTTATGAGAGAATAGGTCTACAACCTATATCGACACTTTTTAATATTGTGTCGCTACTTTATGTCCAGAATGGATGAAAAAAGTGTCGACACCTTTTCAAAAAGTGTCGACACCTTTTCAAAAAGTGTCGATTGAAAAAACATCGGAACCCATAATTATAATACAATAGGTAATTTTGTAATATAACCGGTATAGATATACCGGTTTTATGAGAGAATAGGTCTACAACCTATATCGACACATTTTAATATTGTGTCGCTACTTTATGTCCAGAATGGATGAAAAAAGTATCGATAACTTTTCAAAAAGTATCGATTGAAAAAACATCAAAACCCATAATTATAATGTAATAGGTAATTTTGTAATATAACCGGTATAGATATACTGGTTTTATGAGAGAATAAGTCTACAACCTATATCGACACTTTTTAATATTGTGTCGCTACTTTATGTCCATAATGGATGAAAAAAGTGTCGATACCTTTTCAAAAAGTGTCGATTAAAAAAACATCGGAACCCATAATTATAATGTAATAGGTAATTTTGTAATATAACAGGTATAAATATACCGGTTTTATGAGAGAATAGGTCTACAACCTATATCGACACTTTTTAATATTGTGTCCATACTTTTAAGTAACGCGGTTTTTCTTCCTTCATTCAATATTTATATGTACATGTTTCTTATACACAATAGAAGTCATGTTGATACTTACGATATATGGAGATCGTTGTCATTCCATTCCGTCTTCGAAAAAATCAGTTGATGTAGGCTGTATGCTTGTACTCAAACTGAGCTTGACTTGAGGACATGTTAGTTTGTTATGTCCCTCACCGTTGCAGTACCCACATCGCCTAATTTTCTTCTCGACCTTGTTCTTCGGCACTTCTTTTCGCTTGCGTTGTTTTCGTTGAGGGTCACGAACGTTGTTTACTACAATGCTCTGGTTGACTGAATCATTCAAACCAAACGAGTTTTCTAATTCTTCTATTAGTTTTTTCATCTCATCTCTTGCGATTTTGAAAGACTCGTTTGTCTTTGATGCAATGTAGCATAACCTACTTGACGTTGAACGTAGAGCAGCGAACCTTGCCATTTGCATCACTCCTGGAGACACATTCATGTCAACATAACTGGGTGCAAAAGCCTTCGCATCATTAGTCCACCTACTTTGAATCAAAGTCCTGGGCAAATGTGTAATCCAAGTGCTTCAAAATGTGAAGTTGATGGCGACACGGAAGTCCAACGGTCTCGAATTTTTTGCAGGAGCAAATTAGAGTTTTCGTATGAGAATCAAAACTAATTTCAAATTTCCTATTTTTTCTGCGTACTTTGACAAAATATAATGTTGACATTCATCTGATAAGGACTTAATTTCTGCCTCAATCCGGTACAATGTCTCCCGTATAAGTTCATCTTGGAACGCACGAAAAGATTCGCGGGTAAAAATCGCAGCGGCATGGCTTTCAAGGTCGACCAGTTTTGTGATCTGGAAGGGCTTCGTATGGGAACTTAAGTAATTTGCTTTCAACTCATTCATACGCATTCTACTAATTCCATCTTCAATTGCACGAACATCTAAATATGTCTTCTTGTGTTTCAGTGCAATCGCTAGTGAAACATTCATAGACTCGCACCTTTGTGTTGAGCGAATATTGGCAAAGAAATGACCAGATAGATATGCTTGTGCCCATAAGTGTCGTGTATTTCCCTTCTCAATCACCCATGGATGCTTTTGGACGTTGAATTCTGAAACAACCGAACGCCATTGAATATCAAATTCCTCGGTTGTCCACCAGGAAGCCATGCATTTTGAGAATGCTGCTGTAAACTTTGGGTCACCAATGTTAGCTTGTGCATTGCGAGAAAGATGCCAAGAACATAATTTGTGCTTAGCATAAGGGATAAAAGATTTGATAGCCCTCTGCATTGCCCTATCCCCATTGGTGACAACTGAAATAGGTGATTTATTCATCATGGCTTCTAAAAAATTTTGTAGCACCCACTCGAAAGATTGAGACGTCTCGTCAGCGATTATGGCAGTGGAAAACACAATTGTGTTATGGTGATGATTGACACCGACAATAGGCATAATTGGTCGACCATACAAATTATCTTTGTACGTTGTGTCGAATGCAATTACATCACCTGAAGCATGTGTAATCCGATCTCGATGTAGAATCCGACCAAATAAGATTATACAATACCCCCGATTCATCTACCGAGTATGTCATAAAAAAACCCGGGATCATCATGTTTCTTATAATCAAAGTAGGCAATAAGCGCATTCACATCCCCATCGACGATTTCCTTTGCTTTACCTCTTTGAAGTGCATTGTAGAGGTCTTTATGTGTAAATCCAACATTATGATAGCCCTCTGCCTGCTGCGTTAAATAGTTCATTACTTGTGACGTGCCAACACCGACCTCTTTCAATGTTGTTGCCTCATCAATATCAGCCTTACTTACAGCTCTATTAGAACGCATAAATGGTGTCATAGCAGGTGTGCACAATACATGATTATGTTTATGATCAGACTTACTTATAACCCACTGATCGTTTGTATTTGTTGATGTAACTAAGACTCTAGCCTTACATCCTGTTCTTGTGACTGGCGTATGAGCACGTTGACGATCAATGGTATTGACTTTTGATACTCGAAACCCTTTTTTGGAACAACAAAATTCTTGTGTCTTCACATTTCCTTTCACGTCAAGCCGTGTTGTTCCCTTACGTGCATTAAACCCATGTTCCCGTGCGAATCCCTTGTAAAAGTACCAAGCTTGATCACGTGAACAGAAGAGCTGACCAACCAATCTGTCAGATTCATCAACATTATGTACTTCATGGCATTCCTCGGTTGGCTTAACATTGTCTACATCAGTATGATCCATGGCAAAAATTTTGTTGTGCAAGTTCAGTGGTCTCGGAGTTGATGGAGATGTAAGCAAAGGTTCATTTTGAACATGTTTCAGTCGTGCTGCTTTCAATAGGATGTGGTATTGGTAATGGTAGTTAAAGGGTGGGTACATCATTAAATTCGCAGTACATATTTAGGTATGTACAATAACTAACTAAATATGTGTCAATACATTTTCTACAAGTATCGACCCAAAAAACATCAAAACCAATAATTATAATGTAATAGGTAAATTAACATATCAGGTAAATTTTACCTTTTTTCATAATGTTACCTGATATGTTGAAAGTATTGATTCTTTTTATAAAAAGGATTGATACTTTACAATATAATAAGTAAAAATATATTATTATTAAATTAAAAACAATAAACATATATATTACATATTTATTATTATCTTTGGTTAATATTGTTAAATTTAAATTTTAAATAATATTTTATAAAATATCAAAACAATCAAATAATTTTTTGTGTAAATGAAATTATTAAATTAATATTGTAGGTGGAAAACATGAAACACTATTTAAAAATGATTGAAACATAAATTACATAACTTTAAAAAAAACATCGATCCTTTTTATAAAAAGTATGGAGACTTTCAACATATTAGGTAAATGTTACTTTTTTTAAAAGAGAAGAAGTTATAGCGCCAATAAAGTGTCGATACTTTATAAAAATATATCGATCCATAACAATATAACAGGTAAAAATATGACAAAACCGGTCTCGAAATGATAAAACAGGTAAAGCGCTACCGGTTATGTTGAAAGTGTCGATAATTTATTATACGTATCGACATTTTTGGAATTTAAAAGAGAATAAGTTATAGCGCCAATAAAGTGTCGATACTTTATAAAAATGTATCGATCCATAACAATATAACATGTAAAAATATGACAAAATCGGTCTATAAATGACAAAAGGTGAAAGCATATAGTGTCGATACATTTATAAAAAGTATCGATCTAAAAAATATCGAAACCGATAATTATAATGTAATAGGTAAATTTGCAATGTTACCGGTATAAATATATCGGTTTACTTATAAAATAGGTCAATATAAGCGCTACCTATTACATTATATAAGCGTTACCTAATATGTTATTGTACTTGATAATATTTCCGGTTAAATACATATTTTATTATATAAGCGCTATCTATTACATTATATAAGCGCTATCTATTACATTATATAAGCGTTACCTAATATGTTATTGTACTTAATAATATTTCCGGTTAAATAATATAACATAACCGGTCTAAATTTTAACCGGTCACTTGTTTAACCGGTCACGCCGTATATTAGCCGTTTTTTAGGCGCCGCACAGCAGAACTACCCATGAATCCTTCAACACATTTCAGATGATAATCTATGTGCACGCGTGTAAAAGCAATACTAATTAGATGAAGAGTGTGGGTAAAAGGTACCTACAAACAATATCACAACAGAGAATGCCAACCGTGGTAACTGCAAAATAGATACTGAAGAAGCCTCTTGCTCCTCTCCACCGGCGCCAACTCCTAATTGTAGAAAATAATATTATTACTAGTTCATATAGGTCAATGGTATTCTATTTCACTGTCGTAAAACCATAAGGCTAAACTGGGTGATTTCGGTTGTTGCAGAAACTATTAGCACAACCACCAGGAGAATGTATCTTTTACAGATTTCAAAATCCTAGAATCATTGTCGAAATATAACATGATGTCAATGGGGGGAAGGCTTTTAAACTAACTCAAGAACCAGGAAAAACTTGCATTACCTATGGTGCCAATGCCAGCTAATGTAATCCCCAACCAGTCAATAACATTCATGACTTCTTGTAAATAGAAGTGCGATAAGATCGAAAGAATGGCGAGCCCGCAGTCGGATACCGGTTGAATGATGGATACCTGAACAACACTTCGTAGTCAAAAATATAAAGAATACACAAATTTTACACTATCAATCCCTTTGTAGCCAAACATTGGTCACGCTACAAAGAAACAACAAATTTGGTCTATTGCAAAATTAAAGAAAATCAAATTCACCGGATCCATAGATAACTCTCTCAGCATCAACAAGGCACCGGATATATCGATCAGAAACCCAATCGCCCATGATTTATTAACAGCATATGCTCTTAAACAGAGGAGAGCCCCTTACACCTACTGTTTTGTTGGGTTTTAAATGTCCCATATTGCATGCTAAAAAATCAATTAACAATAATCCACTCAAACCTCAGAACAAGAATGAAAACACTGAGAAACTCCAGATTTTCAAGAAAGAACACAGAGCCAAATCTACGAACGAAAACCACAGAGAAAAAAAATAAAAGAAGAAAGAACACAAAGGATAGAAAAGGGGAACCTGGGACAAAGATTTCTGAGTGGATCCAGTCTTTGGATCGGTCAATTTTTCGGTGTGGAGCAAGGGACGAGAGAACGAATTGTTTTCGGTGTGGAGCAAGGGAGTTGCAGAACGATGGAAAACGACTTACCCTTTTCCAAACGGTAGGTCATTTTACCATGTTTTCCTTTAAGTTTTCCGTTGACAGGAAAACAAAATACGTTGACCTCTTATTTTACGAGAACCAAACACGAGAAAACGGGAAAAATATTTTCCGTAAAATGTTTTACCCCATCCAAACAGACAATTACTGTTATTGAATCCTCACGTGGTTTCTGCTAAAGTTCAAATTCTTCGTTTTCATCAAACAAAATGTCGGGATGGACAGCAGCAGCGCTAACATTGAGAGGCCTTTGCAACTTCCGACGGTCCAAGACTTCGACTTCTAGCAAAAAAGTTGAACTGACAGGTTGATGATCGGAGAGTCTTAATTCTGCTCGCTGGTATCTAAGTTGTTTTATGCCTTTCCCTGACCAGAGTATTCGATCACACCTATCAAGAGAATGAATGCACATTATAAGTAATTGATGTGGAACTTTCTGAAAAATCAGTGGCATTGTGTCAGAAATGTTTTACAAAATTTATTACTTACTACGCCGGAGACCTCTTCTCCTCCCCTTCTCTAGGGATCTCACCGGCATATATATCCGAGTCAATTTCATACTTGTAGGTGGGAGGAAAGTTTATTACCCCTTCTTTCCATCCATCAAATACATGTCGACAACTGAGTTCATTATGAAGCTGTGGAACAGAGTTGAAGCCATTAACTTTTGTTATTAAAAAGTTTGTATGCTAAGGTAAAACAAGATCACTGTGATACTCACTTGTTCATTGTTGATTAGTTCATCTCAGCGCTTTAAAGCAACAAGCTCTCTCGTCTCGGCATCCAACATATTGAGACGGTAATTTAAATCGCCGAACCAAAATATTTGACTGTTAAGAAAAGCAGCCATTTACAAATCCTCACCCATCAAAGCTACTCAATAATCCGGCAATGATCAGTAAGCTACTCATGAGATGGAATTGTTAGGGGTTATTCTGTGTCAAGGGTGGATGAGAAACGGGTACGCCGTATAATTTCATACACATCGGAGTTATGTTTTTGTTCAGCTCTAATTTTATGATCTGATGTCAGATGAGAACACACAAAGAACAGCCTTCATTGAAAAAGTGTCATGCTAAGGGGTAATTAATGAGTTGAGCAGCTTGTAAGCAGCTCGAACTCGATTCAGTCAAAGTTCGAGAAAAATTCAATTCGATTTTGAGCTCGACTCAAGATCTTAACAAGTTTATTCGAGCAAAATCTAAATCAACTCAATAAATTCACGAGAAATTAGTTAATTTTTTTATAAAGTATTTTCAACAGTTATCTTAAAAAAATTATTTCATTCAAAAAAATATTAATTTACTAATAGATAATGAAAAAGATGATGAATTGCTAATCTATTAATTTTCTAATAAACAACACAAAAATATTAAATTATTAAATAGTATTTTACTCCACTAAAAAATCAAATCATATTTATTATTTTAATGTATTTATGGATTGTTACTTTGGAGTTTAGACTTTAAAATTATTTCATACACTCTTTTGATAATATTTTTAATTAAATTTATTAATTTATGTTTATATTAAGCTTTGTATAGTATTAGTAGATTTTACCTATAATTAAGAAATAAGGTAAAAATTTTGGTGAGTTTAACGAGCAACGAGTCGAGCAACAAGTTTTTTTAACGAGCACGAGTCGAGCAAAAATTTAATGAGCTTAACTTACAACGAGTCAAGTTGAGCAACAAAATTTTTTAACGAGCATTGTCAAACTCGTGATCGACTCGCTCGATAAACACCCCTAGCTCATGCCAACAGAAACTGATCCCTGCACAGGCGCAATCGATAAAAATACCTTCTGCAGCACATCAAAACTTGGAGGGCATTGATTCATCAAATCTAGAACTCGTAAATTTGACTCGTATCTGATTATTCGAACAGATCCGAATATGATGACCTAAATTGATTTGAAACTCGAAATAACCCGAATCAAACCGAAACCGACCAGAATTTTAGTTGGACCGAAATCAAGCCTAACCAAAGCAACCACGAATTTAGTTTATTCATATCTAATTCAAACCGAACTTCGACCTGATTTTATCCCGATAATTGAATCTAAGTGAATGAATAATTTATTATTATTATTATTATTATTATTATTAAATAGTAAAATGATGTATGTTTTATTCACATTTTTTATTATAGTTAACCACCATTTTTAGTAATAGTTTAATGGTTTAATATATTCATTCCTCAATTAAAAGATTATCTCTAGACTGTGACAATATATTTTCACATAAAATTCTTGAATTATAAGTAACAAAGAGTTGCATCCAAAGTTATGACGACAAAGAGTGACACGGTTGACCTAAAAATTTAAAGGTTGACCGGAAAATTTAAAGGTTGACTCGAATTAAAATCGACCCGAATTGAACCCAAAATCTAATGATTGACCTGAACCGAAACCAATCAATTCGATATTGACCCCGACCCGAAGCTAACCGATATGATATTAATCCGACTCGAAAAGCAACCAATCCGATTTTGACTCGACCGGAACTGAATTTTCATTGACCCGAATTAAACTACATCAAATGATGTAAGATCCACCAACAAAAGGAAATACTCACCCGATAATGTAAATATCTGTTGGATCATCGGTGCAAAGCCTATCGTCGATCTCGAGATCCTCGGATGGAAGTCTTCCAGCAACATTCCAAGTGCCTATTGTCACCCTATAGGCAACCACAATATGTTTGAATAAGAATTAAAACCCACACACCTTAAGGGTTACAATTTAAGCATGAACATCTTGCAGGCAAACTACAGTGAATATAAGGTTCAACGGTGAAAGAACAAATGGGAATTTTCAGTTGAAACCCAGAAAGCTATTTACCTTTGTCGTAACCGGTTTTTGTCCGGGCACGAAAAATTTATTTGGCGGGAAAATTGATGTGAATAAATGGTTTTGAAAATAATTTGAGAGTCGCCATCGGCCTTTTGGGTCAGGTAGGTCGAATACCTAAAAATTATTTTTTTTAAAAGAGTTTTAAAAAAACATCAATTAAAAAATGATCTGATCTGCGTTTATAACCAAAAATTCGTTCTTTTTAATAATAAAAAGGGATTCGTGTCGGTTACGTTTAGGGAAGGATTAGCACCCTTACAACGCCCAAAATTGGTACTTTTTAATTATAAATTGTCTCTATCATTAAAAATTTAAAAATTTAAAATATATTTAATTCATAATTATGTTATTTTAAATAATTTAGAGAAAATATGTTAATATGTATAAATTATTTATTTATTTAGAAATATCAGAAAAGGGCTTCTAGGTGCTTTAAGACAGCTCTTTTCTTCGATATTAATAAATAAATAACTAAAAAAAACATTTTTTAAAAAAAATAATTAATTTATAATTTATAAAAAAACAAGATAATTATTTATTTAAGAATATCAGAAAAGAACTTCTAGGTGTTTTAAGACAGTTCTTTTCTTCGATATTAATAAATAAATATTAAAAATATAATAATTTTTCATAAAAATGATTTAGATAAATTATAATTTTATAATATTTAATATAAATATATTTATAAGATTAAGATAATAATAAAATAATAATTAAAGCCATAATTAAAATATAAAAGTGATAACAAAATAATATTGTAATTAAATAATGATCAAAATAAAAGAAATTAAAATTATAAAACTAAATATAAAGTATCAAAAATAAAGATAATAATTTGAAATATTATGAAAGATAATGGTTAATAGTGTAATTTAACCTAATTAATTAATACGGGATTAAAATAAAAAATACTAAACTATAAGGGACTAAATTTGATATTTACCTAAATATATTATTTAATACTGGTAAGGACTAAAATGGGTATTTACCCTAAATATTATATAAGCAGGCAAGGATTAAATTATAAATTAAATAAAATTATAAAACCGAATTGAAATGATTAAAAATCAATTTCAGTGACCAAATTGCAAAGTTATAAATATAGAGGGTTGCGGTCATGTGATATGTTGCTCCCGAATCAATGATCTATATATCTGCAAATTTTTTTCTACCTTCCACGGTGGTTGACGCTTCACAACATAGAGCATCTCCATCATCTGAAGTGTTTGCGGTATTGCCTTGTGGGTTGGAGTTTTTATTTAGACTCCAACAATCCTTCTTCAAGTGACCCTTCTTTCCACAATTGTAGCACTTTAAATTCTTTTTGCTCCTCGACTTCGATCTACCATGTTTGTGACTGCTGCTTTGGCCACGTTCTGTTGATCTCCCTCTCATCGTTGTCATCGTTGTCAATGCTTCTGCTTGTTGCAGATTTACTTGTCTGTCTTCCTTGTTTTTGCGCCGATTTTCTTCTTGTAGAACAGCAGCTACAACGTCATCGAAGACTAGACTGGTGACATTACTGTTTGTCAAGTTGATGATGAGTTGATCATACGAATCAGGTAGACTTTGAAGTAGAAGTTCAGCACGTTCTTGTTCTCCTATTTTACAGCTTAAGGATGTAAGCTGAGAAAATAAAGTGTTCAGTGTATTTAAGTGCTCCGTCACTGAAGTAGATTCTGGCATACGGAGAGTGTACAATTTTCTCTTAAGGAAAATTTTATTGTGCAGCGATGTGGCCTCGTACAATTTGGTGAGATGATCTCATATCTCCTTAGTTATCTTCTTCTCTTCGATGCTTGACAATACTTCATCTGCTAATGCTATATGAAAGTTTGCCATAACATTCCCGTCCATTTCGATCCATTTGTTGTCATCTATGAAATCCACCGGTCTTTCACTGATAGCTGCTAGACAACCGTCTTTCCTTAGGATGGCCTTCATCTTCAATTTCCACAATGAGAAATTTCTCCCATTGAATTTTTCATTATCAAATTCCGTTGTCATAGCTTCTTTTACGGATAGCTCCCACTATTTCACTATCGTGAATAGTTCTCTGGAACCTTCAAAGAATGGGTAATAACTTCTTACTTTCTTATGTTGGAGGATCCACCTTTTGGTGGCAACCACAAAGACAATAAGCAGATACTACACGCTCTAATCTGGCTCGAATACCAATTGTTGCGGAAGACGGCTATCGGATAGAGCAAAATCGCAACTGATAATTTGAGAAAATAAAAATGAAGATAAAGAAAACACAAAATTTACGTGGAAAACCCCTAAATAATATAGGGTAAAAACCACGGGCAACGGTAGAAGAATTTCACTATGAGAAAATAGGAATTACAACCTCTCTCGATCTACTAAGGAGAAAACAATGATAATTCTCTCTTGATAAAAAGGAGAAAACAACTCTCAAGAAACTTTCTTAATTCTCTCTAGTATTGGAAGAAAGCTAGAATGCTTTGGGATGGTTTTGAAGCTAAATGAATTAGGGTATTTATAGTTGAAGCTTAAGGACTAATTTGTAAATACCCTAAATTACAATGACTAAATATACAATTATACCATTGCTAATTTTCAACAATTAGCCAACCCTTTTAAAATTTTGTTTTTCGGTGGATTTTAAATCCACTTTTCGGTGGATTAATTCTACCTTTCGGTGGATTTTCAACACATGGCGGATAATAATTCATTTTTACTCCCTGTAATCCGTCCTGATGAAAAGAGCTTACAAGCTTCTCAGGATCAGTTCCAAGGTTCTTGGCAATCAGCTTAATGAGATGAATCTTAACCTTATTTAATTCAATCAAGTACTTATCGAAGGCTGATCTGAAAACAGCACAAGTTGATCAGAAAATTCATGGTATACACTGATGAAGTTGAAGGATTATTACCTGAATGAAGGGGGATTGGTCGGCCAGAATCTCATGTTTCTTGTGGAAACAGGCAGGCCCGAAAGGAAGAGCATGTCGCCCCAATCAAGCTTCTGGTCTTCTGAAACAACGAAGGATTGACCATAGCCTTCGATGTGATTGGGAATCAGTGCATAAGCCATCTTCTCCTCCAATGGCAAGTTGAAGAACTCTTGTATATCCATCTTCATTTTCTCAATCACTTCATCTTCTACCCCATGATTCATCAACTGTTTCACCCGTCAAATAAAAATGAACTCTATGTCCATTTAGGGTTTCAAAAAAAGTTAGCGTTCATTCAGTAATGTGTTTAGATTAGGTACCTGGAAGAAACCCCAGTATTTGCAAGCCAAATGGAGTTTTTTCTGTTCATCAACATCATCATCTAGTTTACTCATGTCAATTACAGGAATCTGCAGGGATTCATCAACAGAAACTACATCGAATTCAACCTCTGGCCTGATGTATCTGGGTGGAATGTTCTTGAGGTTCTTGGATGCAAGAGATTGGACATTCTCAACAGGTAAATAACCGATCGGAACTAAGCTCTGCACCTTTGTTTCCATTTCCGTAAAGCTGTCTCAAATTCTGATCTGAGAATATTTTGATGTCTATTTATAGCAATATCACGTTGATGCGTTAGGTGATTTCTTAAAGGGTCTTTTGATGCCTCTTGGGATCAGATCTTTGGAAATCTATAATGGACCCTCCATTAATGCCAATGATAGCAAGGAATAACTATTAATGCATTCAAGTGTCTCTTCTACAGGTTGCCATGGACTCTCAATCATCATCTACAAGTCTCTTGGGAGCAAGTTTTAGCATGTCCCTCAACTATACCTTCTACAAGCAGATCTAGAGTGGTCCTAATCGGGACGGACGTATGATTTTATATTAAAGAGGTGAAATTCTTAAATTTTAGGAGTGGTCCTAATCGGGACGGACGTATGATTTTATATTAAAGAGGTGGAATTCTTAAATTTTAGGGGAGCAAGCTTATAAAATTCTAAGAGACGAAAATATATTATAAATAAAAAATAAAAAAATTTAAAATAAATGATAATTTAAAAATTTTATGGTAACTGCCTCCAGCCATCCCCTCAATCTATCCCTCCAGCCAAAGCAATTCCTGTTGCTGCAGGTTCTTTGCCCTCACAATCGTCAGCCCCTACAATCTGCCTCTACCTTGCCACTTGATGCCTCTCATCCTTCTTATTTAAGACCATCTTCCCCCTCAGTTCATTCAATTGATACTTGTGCTCGAACAAAATCACTTAAACCCAAAGTTTATACAGTACCCCCAGGCCCCAACATCCTCTTACCTTTTTGTCCACCTTCAGAAATCGAACCAGCTTCATACTCTAAGGCTGCTAAAAGGAGAAGTGCCAGGATCCTATGAGCCTAAGACAGATATGTACAAAGCCCATTGCGATAATAACACAATATTGAAACTTGTTCCTTGTCTTTTGGATGCGAATATGGTTGGTAGTAAATTTTGATTATCTGATCTGGTACAACAGTCTCACCTCAGAAGCATGGAATTCTTATACGAGACTTGCAAAGGAAAGTGACATATGAGACGCATATAGCATAATCCTATATAATCTATGATGTAGTGTATGTTAGTGGTAGTTTTAAGTATTAATTAAGTTCCTATATATTTGTTCAGTTGTGAATTAGATCGACGATGTCACATTGATTGATCGAAACAACGTCTAATTCGAAATCAGATAAAATCATATATTTGTAATCAAAGGTACACTAATAGAGGCTTAAATACAATCAATGCGTATATAGAAGAAGTTTACGAAAAAAATTGGTCTAAATTATTTTGATACACTCTCATCATGTAACTAAGATCTCCATAATTCATGTTTTGTTTGCTTTAGCTTTTATTCATAATTTTCTGATACATCAAATAGATGTAAAGACAATTTTTTTTAATTATGAATCAGATAAAGATATTTACTTATCAACCTCTACGATTTTTGAAAAGAAAATGTCCATATAACACTCATTATATGGTTATACACTAATTAAGACCATCATAATCCATAATAGTTACTTATTTCGATAAGTATAGTTTGATCATTATAGCAATTACAAGGACCATATGGAAAAGTACCTCTCAGATCATATGACTAAAGGAGAGAAGGTTGAAATTTATGATCTTCATAAGCACATAAAATTGAGATATGACTAAGTACAATGACCAAAGTCATATATCTTTTATATTCAAAGAATTATTAAGGTACATGCATTGAATTTTAGTAGGTACATTGAAGAAACATTGATATTCAATTTTTAAGGGTTAATCTCCCAAGACTAATGCATCACATGAAATTGTTCCATGAACTTGTGTGGTTCATGTGACGAAGATTAGGGTATGTGCATTGACACTATGATAGATTTTGTCTTATGAAAGTACAATGTAATTAGCCCTTGATTGCTCTCTCCAGTTAAACCAAGTTTGAAAAGATCTTTAAGTTTCTAAGAATTCAAACTTAGTCCAATGAATCTATTTAAATATAGATTTCACCAAAGATAGACATTTTATTCAAGAGCTGGTAAACTTAACCAAGATTTTGAACTAGAGCTTCATTTTATTTACCATAAATTTGCCATCAAGTTTGCTGCCCATTTTCAGTTTCAGGAATTCCTCACGTGATACAGTCTTAAACAGTGGTTTGTTCGTCTTAACAAGATCTGGCAAATGACCAATAGGGGTACCAATATTTGGATTGTGAAACGATGCAATTGAAAGACGCTCTTTCTCCGGATTAATCACCACTCTATGTTCTATGCTTTTATAATCTGCATTTACATAATATCTCTTCGCTTAGAGGCACATTACAGATACAATCCATCAAGTCTAAAAGTGTATGTAACTTCAAAAAGGCATAACGTGAAAAATATCGGGTTCGAGCATGATGTCTGGAGGGATATTTGAGCATTCATTATCAAATGATTGAGTCTTTTGAACAAATGATGTCTTATAATCACCCTCGTATCAATAATAAAAAGATATTTTAACTCTCAAAGTATTTTGACTAACGGTCAACGCATATCGTTAATGTGAGATTGTCACTTGTTCAAAGGAATAACATGGCATATGTCACGTGACACATGTCATGTGTTGATAGTGATGATGTGACATTGTCACATACTAAAAGTGATGACATTATATAAATCATATGTCAAAATATTAACCCTTAATCAACTAATAATTTTCATCGAACCATAGGTCATTTTATTCTAAAATAAAATATTAAGGCCCAAGTGCTAAAAAAATTAGGAATATTTTTTGGCATTATGAACTTCAAATATGGAGTATTTGTTATATTACCTCCATCATGTCTCCAGTATTGATGATCAATGCGACTGGGACGGGTTTAACAGGCACCCATTTCTCGTTTCGCTTGATTTGTAATCCTTCATTCACTTGAAGAAACAGTGTTAAGCCTGTGGCGTCTGAGTGTGGTGCTACACCGTAGACCTTGCTTGCCTCCGCACATGGTGGATAATAATTCATTCTCCGTCCTCAAAAGAGCTTAAAGGCGTCTCAGGATCAGTTCCAAGGTTCTTGGCAATCAGCTTAATAACATGAATCTTAACCTTATTTAACTCCATCAAGTACTTATCGAAGGTTGATCTGAAAACAGCACAAGTTTATCAGACAATTCATGGTATATACCGTATTATAGTGATGAAGTTGAAGGATCATTACCTGAATGAAGGGGGATTGGTCGGCCAGAATCTCATGTTTCTTATGGACACAGGTAGGGGTGATTAATGAGTTGAGTAGCTCGTGAATAACTCAAACTCGACTCGGTCAAAGCTCGATAAAAATTCGACTCGGTCAAAGCTCGATAAAAACTCGACTCGGGATGACTCGACTCGAGACCTTAACGAGTTGATTCAAGTAAAGTCCAACTAGACTCGATAAGTTCGCGAGTAGCTCGTTAATTTTTTTATATAATTATTTCATTCAAAAAATACTAATTTACTAATAGATAATAGAAAATATGATAAATTACTAATATATTAATTTTCTAATAAACAATAAAAAATTTATTAATTAGTATTTTACTACACTCAAAAAACAAACCATATTTATTATTTTAATGTATTTATGGATTGTTACTTTGGAGTTTAGAGTTTAAAATTATTTCTTACACTCTTTTGATAATATGTTTGGTTAAATTTATTAATTTATGTTTATATTAAGCACTGTATAGTATTAATAGGAGTTTAGAGTTTAAAATTATTTCTTACACTCTTTTGATAATATGTTTGGTTAAATTTATTAATTTATGTTTATATTAAGCACTGTATAGTATTAATAGATTTTACTTATAATTAAGAAAATAAGGTAAAATTTTCGGTGAACTTAACGCGCATCGAGTTTAACGAGAAATGAGTCGAGCAACAAGTTTTTTAACAAGCACGAGTTGAGCAAAAAATTAACGAGCTTAACGAGCAACGAGTTGAGTCGAGAAACAAATTTTTTTAACGAGCACGAGTCGAACACTGTCCAACTTGCGATCGACTCGCTCGATAAGCACCCTTAGACACAGGCACGCCTAAAAGGAAGAGCATGTCGCCCCAATCAAGCTTCTGGTCTTCTGAAACAACGAAGCCTTGACCATAGCCTTCGATGTGATTAGGTATCTATGCATAAGTCGTCTTCTCCTCCAAAGGCAAGTTGAAGAACTCTTGTGTGTCCATCTTCATTTTCTCAATCACTTCATCTTCTACCCCATGATTCATTAGCTGTTTCACCCATCCATAAAAGTTAACTAGGTAAAAATAAACAATAAAAGTACTGTTCATTCAGCAATGTGTTTAGAGTAGGTACCTGGAAGAAACCCCAGTCTTTGCAAGCCAAATGAAGTTTTTACTGTCCATCATCATCATCTAGATTGCTCATGTCAATTACAGGAATCTGCAGGGATTCATCAACAGAAACTACATCTAATTCAATCTGTGGTCTGATGTATCTGGATGGAATGTTCTTGAGGTTCTTGGATGCAAGAGCTTGGACATTCTCAACAGGTAAAGAACCAATCGGAACTAAGCTATGCACCTTTGTTTCCATTGCTGTAAAGCTGTCTCAAGTTCTGATTTGAGAAATTTTTTATGTCTATTTATAGCATTATCATGTTAATGCGTTAGGTTATTTCTTAAAGCGTCCTTTGTTGTTTATCATTTCTAATTTCTAAAACACAAACACCCCCTAATATTTTGTCTTTTATATGAATTATTGAATTAATATATATTTTTAATTATTATTTTCAAAGCTTTCTTGAAGCCTCTCGGGATCAGATCTTTGGAAATCTATAATGGACCCTCCAATAATGCCAATGATAATAAGGACGGGCCATAAACTACAAGGAGTAAAAGATTAATGCCTTCAAGTGTCTCTTCTACATGTTACCATCGACTCTGAAACATCATCAGAGCAAGTTTTAGCATATGTCCCTCACCTATACCTTCTACGAACAGATTCTCAAAATTTTAGGAGGTGAACTTCTAAAATTTTAGAGGGAGAAAATCTATAAAATTC